TCGTACACAAATTTTACGAGAGCGCGATCTTGGAGCTCTTGACCGTAGAATTGTGAAGACTAGTGAATGATCACTTATCTGCTTATCCACTGCATCAGATACCAATGCCTTTTTCTTGTTACTGGTCGAAATTAAATCGAGAAGTGTCTCTGATGTTTTCGTCTTTAGAGTAGCTTTTGTAATCAAGCAATCAAGACCAAAGATTTCCATCAGGTCTGAAAGATATCTACCGTCCTTGGGAGGCTTGTCTGGATTCAACAGATCGGCGTTGAAATCTCTAGTGTGTGGTTCTGGAAAGTTGACGTTAGCCTGAAATTTGGAAGGTTCTTTGTGTAACCCTTGTCCATCAATAATCCTCCTTAGGAACTCAAGCCTGGAAACTGAGACCAGACAGTATACTAGGTTCAGGGTTATCCCTTATTGCATGAGGCGATCCAGAACAGCGCGTAACCTCTCGTTATATTCTACTTTTGTATGACCCACTACAAGGATGTCATCGAAGAGGAATTTGACATCATGCGGGCAGGCCCCTCTATACTTGCATCCGCTTCTTTCTGGTAACCGATTGAAAATGAATCAACAAAAGGGGGTGATTAGTGTTGTCAGCCTTCGGCTGTCTAGATCTAGGAGTACTTGATGGGATCCAGAGTAAGTACACTGCGCTTACCTCGGTAATTCAAGCGTGCTTTCCATGGTTGACATTTGATGCAGCTCTCTTTTAATAGCTTGATTCAACTTTGTCAAATCTAGACCCATTCGAATGCCTCCATTTGGTTTAGGAACAACAAAAATTGGTGATAACCAGTCAGTTGGTTCCTCAATATGCTCTATGACACAATGACGTTTACATTGATGAAACACACAATTTCGTTGCGAGGCGAGAGTCACGTTCCGTTAATGCGAAATGAATGTTGTGTAACTGTTTAATTGCACATGTCATGCATCGCTTTCCGTTCTGCATGTGTCCTTTTGCTCACAGAAAATCTGTCCTCTTTCAGTGAGCCTTAGTCGCCTGTAAGATTGATGTATTGAGGAACAGCGATGAGAATGGTCAATTTAAAAATAAACTTCGGCAAATAAGAAACTACATTAGGAAACCACAATGCTTTCCACCCCAAGCTAACATAACTTCAGTGAAATTCACATATCTCGGCCAACGCCCTCATTTTCTCCCTCTGTCCCATTAGTTTCTTTTGGTGTAACTGAGGGAATGCAGGCAAAAGGTTTTCTCCACGGAAAGCTTTTTCGCTCCCAGGACCCTTCAATCGCTTGATATGCAGAAAAGTTGCGAACAAACGTCTAAGTTTAAGATCTTTAGAAGGCAATTATGATATAAGCTGGAGGCAGAATGAATAATTTCAAATTTCGTGGCGTGAAACCATAAGAAATTTAATCACAGCGAGATATCAGAACGGAGGAAAACGACTCCA